CCCACGGCCCTCGAGGACAGACTCCACCCTTGAAGGAAGGGAGAAAGGAGAAAAGTCGCTTTCCCCATATGACTAGCTTGAATCTGTGTGACTTGTATCTAAGCAAAAGGGGACAGTTTGTTGACTTGGTACAGCTGATTGATTTTGATCATCTGATAAGACCATAACACAAAGGCTTGCCCTTGGTGCCCAGGCTGTAGTCATCTTAGGGGCTTGTGATCTGGGAAGGAAATCATCCAGAGTCCTTAGCAATTGCACAAACTGACACACCCATCAGGAACTGCTCTGCAAGAGTGGTGAAAGAGCCCTGAATAACATATTAGCAGCTCTCTCCTAGCTGCAAATCAAGCAACCTCTGAAGTATACTCTCTTAGGCTCGCCAATTCCTGTTGCTCTTCTCACCCCATCTAAACTGGTAACAGGGCTCAAGTAACCCTCGGGAGTGGCATGACATTCCCCAAAGACTGAAATATAATGTGAACGTTTAAAATTTCAGAAGAAAATATAAAGAATATTTTCATCCTCAGAGTAGGGAAAAATTTTTTAAATCACATACCAAAACAAAGCAAACCATAAAGAAAAAGTAGCATGCATTTGACTACATTAAAATTAAGAATTTATTTTCATCATGGGATACCATAAAGAGAGTGAAAGACAAGCCATAAAGTGTGAGAAGATGTGTTCAATGCCCACAGCTGACAAAAAATTAGAATCCAGAATATATAATGTCCATAAAAATTAATAAATTTATGGACAGCCCAACAGAAAAATGGGCAAAAGATACTAGCAGGCATTTCGTAGAAAAGGAAACAAAAATTTGCCAATAAATGTCAAAAAATGCTCAACTGCATCAGTAATCTGACTGATATAAACTAAAACTATCCATCACAATGACCTAAAATTTGACATCTATAACAAGTTTTGGCAAAGATGTGTAGTAGTAGGAATTCTCATACATTGATGTTGGTGGTGTAAATTGCTGTAACTACTTTAGAAAAAGAGAGGGAGAAAAATTGGCAGATTAGGGGTCACCTCCTTGCTCTCTGCTCCCAGAGTAGGAGGTGAAGAACGCGGACAATCACACACGAGTGAATCCCTCTCCCACAGGATCAGCTTCGTGATCTGCAGAGAAGCAGCGAGGGACGAGCAGCGCTGGGAATAAAAAGGTGAACCGGAGAATCGACCGCAAAATCCATAGAGTGTGGGATATACAGTGGGGAGTGGAGCCTGGGACAGCCGCACCCGTCAGCCGGCTTCCCCGGGCAATGTGATCTGACCCACAGGAGGACGACTCTTCCTGCACCGACCCCCACACCCACGCAGGCAGCGAAGCGCCTGACGTCAGTACGAAGCGGGAGCACGGCCGACATGCTGTGTGGGGACAGGAGCGGGAAACGTTTTGAACTCCCCTGTGCGCTGTGCTGGGTCTGCTTTGGGCGGGGGAGGACTGGTCCAAGCGGACATTTCCCGGTTCGGACACTTCCCGATCCCACAGGCGAGAGCACAGGCTTCTCGCCTCAGGAGACCGCCAGGACCGGATCGGGGAGGCGAACACCATGAAGGAGGCTCCGCCCTCGGAAACGGGAGAAGATTTGGCCGGCGCAGGGCGGGACAGAGTACGGATCCCTACTACTGATCGGTCGCGCGCGTCACGGTGTCGGGGAAGCAGTGTGTTCGTGGGCTCGGCGGGCGGCTCTCGGAGACAGCGGTGGCAAACCCAGCTCCGGATGCCGCCCGCGCAGTCGCCTCCAGCGCCGACTATCGGTGGGCGGGCCGCCACCACTGGGGAGTCCACAGCCTAAAATTACCGGGGCCTGTTGCCCAGGAAACGGTCTGAGGCCTCGCCCCTGCCTCTGCCCGGCAGCGCTGGTCCCGCCCTTCCGGGAGGAGGAGAGTAAGGAGAGAAGCCACTTTCTCTGCCAACCCTGCGGACAGTCTTCCCGAGCGGGCGGCTCAAGCTCCGCCTTTGAAAGGGCGGAAAAGGGAGAGAGGTCGCTTTCTGGGCTGAGTTGCCAGGTGGTCTCGGGCAGCTCCCGCTCCACCCAGCCGCCGGTGCTTCGCGCCAAAAAGACGGAGTACTGAAGGAGGCCGCTGTTGAGCCCTTACCCGGAGCGACATAACCGCCCCACTCCCAGGCCACTTGCCCCCCTGCACCTCCCCCATGACGCTTCGTGCCAAAGCAGCTGACTCTGCCCCTAGGTGGAGTAGTAAAAGGGGTCGCTTTTTTTTTTTTCTTTTCTTTTTCTTCTGAAACTGGCGACCGCTGCTGCCCCTTTATTGTATCTCCGTGGCTGGGCTACTTTGCACCAAGGAGACAGCTCACACCCCTAAGAGTGTGTAGTAACCAAGGAGGCCGCTTTTCAAGCTGAGACACGTGATCACCTCTTTGCTGTGACTTGGTAGCCGCTACCACCCGCCAAACGGACAGACTCCACAACGGGAAGGGCCGAGTAGCGAAGGAGGCTGTTTTCCCAGCTGGGACCAGCAGCTGCCTCTTCGCTGTGGCTTGGAAGCCGATGCCTCCCGCCAAAGAAACAGTCTCCCACCCCTGGAAGTGCAGCGTGACAAGGAAAGCTTCTTTCTGGGCTGAGACCCGCAGGGGTTATGGACGGCCCTTGGCTGCGATCAGGCCACTGGTATTTTGTACCAAAGGGACTGACCCCATATCTGCAGGGGAGGAGTAGCGGGGTGGGCTGCTTTCTGGTTCGGGTCCCTCAGTGGGCTTGGGTAGGGCTTCTCCAGCAGCCCCGAGGTGTGCGCTTGCTACCAACTAGACAAACCCTGCCCTTGGAGGGGTGGAATAAGGAGGGTCGCCACTTCCTGAGCTGAGACGCCTGGTAGCCCCAGGAAGTGCCCTTCCCCAAGTCTGGTAGGTTATCTCCCCTCTGGCAGGGCAAAACCCACCCTCGGAGGAGGGGAGAAAAGAGAGATGTTTTCTGGGTGGAGTCTTGCGGCAGTCTCAGCCAACGCCCCCCCCACGGCCCTCGAGGACAGACTCCACCCTTGAAGGAAGGGAGAAAGGAGAAAAGTCGCTTTCCCCATATGACTAGCTTGAATCTGTGTGACTTGTATCTAAGCAAAAGGGGACAGTTTGTTGACTTGGTACAGCTGATTGATTTTGATCATCTGATAAGACCATAACACAAAGGCTTGCCCTTGGTGCCCAGGCTGTAGTCATCTTAGGGGCTTGTGATCTGGGAAGGAAATCATCCAGAGTCCTTAGCAATTGCACAAACTGACACACCCATCAGGAACTGCTCTGCAAGAGTGGTGAAAGAGCCCTGAATAACATATTAGCAGCTCTCTCCTAGCTGCAAATCAAGCAACCTCTGAAGTATACTCTCTTAGGCTCGCCAATTCCTGTTGCTCTTCTCACCCCATCTAAACTGGTAACAGGGCTCAAGTAACCCTCGGGAGTGGCATGACATTCCCCAAAGACTGAGGCACCTGTATGTCCCATTTGGGGGTTTAGAGCTCAATACAAAAGTTTTGGAATACCTTGATAACCGACTCCTCCATGCAAAAGACAAGCAACAAAAGAGAGAGTAACCTCATATCTCAACACAGGGCTTTCCATCTCAAACAAGTGGTTGATAGCGGAGTCACACACACAAAAGTGATCCAACTTCTGGGAATGTGAGCAAGGGAAAGAAACTCACTAATCTCCGTAAGCAGAAGGTGAGGACAACAGGCCAGAGATAACCCAACAGGCTAAAACTCCACTAAGACAAGACCAAAGCACATCTCAGCTCTGCCAAGGAACGTCCCTTCAGAGTCCCAAAATTAAGTCCATAAACCAGTCCCAGCACCCCCAGTCCGTGACAAAGTAGCCTGATGAGAAAGAATCAGTGAAAGAACACAGGAAACATGAAAGATCAGAGAGAAAAGTCACCTTCAAAAGAAAATATTAGATCTCCATCAATTGATATTGTGAACTAAAATAAAATTTTAAGGCTCACCCCTCCACCAGCTGACTAAATGGATCCCCTTGTGGCCAAAGGAATATCCTAAAACTAAATTGCCTGCCAGGAGGAAGGAGGTCAGACATGCCTCATCATGGCCCCCTTCCTTCTTGGGGACATCCTTTGTAACCCATTAACAGGCCTAAGGGTATGCCAAACAAACCTGCAGGTCCTCAATTTACACAACAATCTATGTCCAGTGCCTTATCTCTGAGAAAGAGCTCCTTATGTTGAAACATTCCAAGCCTTTAGACAAAGCTTCATGTCTTTAACCAATTACAAGCCAAAGAGTCTTTAAACCCATCTATAACCTGTAAGCCCCCGCTTTGAGATGGCCCACCTTTTCAGGCAAAACCAATGTATGTCTCCCACGTATTGATTTATGACTTTACCTCTAACCCCTGTCTTCCTGAAATGTATAAAACCAAACTGTAACCCAACCTCTGCGAGTCCACTGCTCAAGGCCTCTGGGCGTGGCTCTGGGTCATGGTCCTCAAATTTGGCTCAGAGTAAATCTCTTTAAAATTATTTTACAGAATTTGGTCTTTTTCTGTTGACAATACCAACATACAGAGGAAGAATTCTGAATATGGATTGAATATGGATTGTAAGGAAACTCAATGGAATTGAAGAGAAAATAGAATCCCAACATAAAGAAACCACAAGAACAATCCAAGAAACGAATGAAAAATTCTCCAAAGAAATTGAAATACTATGGAAAAACCAAACAGAAATCTTGTCAATGAAGGAGGAATTTAAGGAACTTCAGAACATAGTGGAAAGCCTCAAGAATAGAAAGGATCATGCAGAGGAAAGAATCTCAGAGCTTGAAGATAATGCCTATGTGCTGAACAAATCAGATGAAGGAAAAGAACTCAGAAACAAGAGACAAGACCAAAACTTACAAGAAATATGGGATATGTAAAGAAACCGAATCTTAGGATCATAGGTCTTCTAGAGGGAGAACAAGAAGATGCACAAGGGCTGAAAAACTTATTTCATGGAATACTGGAGGAAAATATGCCAGGCCTGGCCAGAAATCTTGATATCCAGATATACAAAGCACACAGAACTCCTGGGAGACCCAATGTGAAAAGGCAATCACCACGTCATGTAGTTATTAGGCTGACCAAAGTAAACATGAAAGAAGCAATTCTCCGAGCAGTGAGATGAAAGCAACAAATAAACTACAGAGGAAAGCCTATCAGACTAAATGCTGATTTCTCAACTGAAACCTTACAAGCCAGAAGGGATTGGGTCCCTATTCTTAATCTACTAAAACAGAATAATGCCCAACCTAGAATTCTTTATCCAGCAAAATTAAGTTTCATCTATGAGGGAATAATAAAGACCTTCCCAGACAAGCAATCACTGATGGAATTTGCAAAGACCAGACCAGCCCTAGAGGAAGTACTCAAACCTGCATTACACACTGAACAGTGCAATAGACACTCTTCAAAGTAAAATCATTCAAGAGTTAAAGCCTAGAACGTGGACTTCATGATGGCTCAAGGAGCAAAACAAAACGACAGGATTTCACCCAACAATATGAATGGAAATCTACCTCAAATCTCAATCCTCTCAATAAATGTGAATGACTTAAACTGTCCTCTGAAGAGACACAGACTGGCAAAGTGGATAAAAATCCACAAGCCTAGTATCTGCTGTCTGCAGGAAACACATCTAACCCACAAAGATGCCTTCAGGCTAAAGGTCAAGGGATGGAAAACTATCAGCCAGGCAAATGGAAGTCAAAAGAAAGCAGGGGTAGCTATACTAGTTTCAGATAACATAAGCTTTAAAATAGCAAAAGTAAAAAAGCACAAAGACGGCCACTATATAATGGTGAAAGGGAAGATGCAACAAGAAGAATTAAAAATTCTTAATATTTATTCACCCAATGCAGGAGCACTCAGTTACATAAAGCAAACCTTGTCTGATCTAAATAGCATGATAAACAACAATGCCATAGTAGCAGGGGAATTCAACACTCCACTGAATGAACTGGACAGGTCTTTCAAACAGAAAATAAGCAAAGAAATAATGGACTTAAACAGAGCTCTAGAACAAAAGGGTCTGACAGATCTCTACAAAACATTCCACCCAAATAAATCTGAATTTACATTCTTCCCATCAGCCCATGGAACTTTCTCCAAAATTGACCACATACTAGGCCACAAATCAGACCTCAACAAATTCAGAAAAATAGAAATTATACTGCGTACTTTCTCGGACCATAGAGGTATAAAATTAGAGTTCAATTCCAACAGAAATACTCACCACCTCACAAAGTCATGGAAATTAAACAATCTATTGTTGACTAACTATTTGGTCAAGGAGGAAATACAAAGGGAAATCAAGAACTTCTTCACACTAAATGATAACGGAGAAACAAGCTATCAAAACCTGTGGGATACAGCAAAAGCATTCCTGAGAGGAAAACTAATAGCAATAAATGCTCACATCCAATAAACAGAAAGTTTAGAAATCGACAACCTAATAAATAGACTCAAGGAATTGGAAAAGGAATAGCAAACCAGTCCCAATCCTAGTAGAAGAAAAGAAATAACTAAGATCAAAGCACAACTAAACAAAATTGAGAACAAGAAAATCATACGGAAGATCAACAAAACCAAAAGCGGGTTTTTTGAAAAAATAAAAAAAATTGACAGCCCTCTTGCTAGATTGACTAGAATCCAAAGGGAAAGGACACTAATAAACTCAATCAAAAATGAAAAAGGAGAGGTCACAACAGACACCACGGAAATACAAAACATTATTTTTGATTACTATAAAAACCTA